TATATATATATATATATATATATATATATATATATATATATATATAATTCAGAGGTGGAAATCGGACTGCTCGAATCAGATCAGAATCAACACTTTTAAAATGTTTCAAAAGTTCTCCGAAGTGGAAAACTATTTGAATTTTGTTCCAAAAAATACGAAAAAGAAAATCAAAATTTAAAAAGTTGGAATAAAAAACATGTTCCAAAATCAAATAATTTCACATTGTATTGGCTGAATTTATAAATTAAAATTGGATCGAAAATTGAAATGTCATATATATTCCAATTCTGATAAAAAAAAATCAAAAAATTCGAAAAAACAAAGAAAATTTTTTGAGATCAAATTAAGGAAACTCCATTGCAATATATGAGGTATATAATTCTTATTCGATTATATAAAAATAAAAGAATCAATTTCATGCACATGAAAAATATACACCAATATTGAAATCAATTGTACATAATTCCAACCCATGAGTTAATGCCTACGAGATAAACACAGTTGGACATTAATTTTTCTTGCAGGGTAGATTCTTTGCATTGAAGTAATTAAATTGATTATTTGCAGAAGTTAGGTGTTTTGTCAACTTAATTACTAGCTATTAACAACTACTAATAAGTAAATGATATTTTTTTTTCTACTCCTGTCAATTCCAAATATTTTATTCACAGATATCATATAACTAAAATAATTATTTATAACATATATCAATACTTAATTCGATATATTTTATTAAGAAAAAATGGTAAATTACGACAACATCTCTGACCGCAAAGTGTAATTACAAAAAAATCCCTCCCTTTTGATAAATTACATCCAGCTCCTAGTTTGTATAATTCACCCCCTGCAAAACGATGTTAATGTAAGAAATCAAAAAATTGCAAGGGTGGATGAAATTATGGAATATTAAGGGGTTTTTTCGTAGATACATCTTACTTCACGACGCGGTTGTAATTTACCCCAAGAGCAAATAATTTACTTTGAATTTTCTTTCTTTATTATTATTATTATTATTATTATTTTTTTTTTTTAATTGTAAGTTTTTGGTGAAAACAGAAAATGTTCGTACAAAATAACTTTGCAAATATATATACACAGGCAGTAAATAATACAGAGTATATCTACTGATACTTTACCAGAAATGATAGATCTATCAGGAACAGAAGATTGTAGGAGCAGGAGGTGACAAAGGAATGAAATTTATCAGCAAAATTCATTGAAGCCAGCTGGACTTTTTAATTATTACCTGTACAATCATAAATAAATAAATAAATAGTGTTAGCAAACCAACAATATCAGCTTTATTCATCTTAAAATTTACTTAATTCATTAATAAAAAAAATACTAAATAATTTTGAATATTACATTAAACACTCTATGACATTTGTTTATACCTAGTAAACCGCAACGGAGCCAGGATTATATGTTCCGATGGCTCGAATGCATTAAAAAATTTATGGGAAAGTCGTTAATATTACTATACGAAAAAAAAATTATATATCTATATAAACTAAAAATGATTTGAGAAATATGGGGGCCCTCACCCCTAATTGGCTCTATCTTGGCATCGCCACCGCTAATAAATTGCCACAACTGATTGGCTTGTTGGTAAAGTGAGCATCTACCGTGGGTAATTTTGGAAATTTATTTAATTTAGACTATATAAATATTTTTAAATATCGCATAAAAGAAAATGATTGTCACAAGTTAAGACTAGCAAAGAAGGTCCATCATACATTTACATAGGATCCCCTATATATTTTGATTTCATCACAATGTGAGGATATTCATAAGAAAATGCTCTTTACGGGCTAATAAGTGCTATTTACCGTTCAAAGTAAAAAACAGTTTATCTCTCTAAAACCCCTAAAATTCGAAATTCTC